TCTCTCTCTCTCTCTCTCTCTCTCTCTCTCTCTCTCTCTCTCTCTCTCTGTGTGTGTGTGTGTGTGTGTGTGTGTGTGTGTGTGTGTGTGTTGTTATGTGCTCTATACATTCGTGTTGTAGATTTTCACCACAACAGCCCCTGTTCCACCCAGATCAGTAGATCCAAAATGGAAGCAGCTTTACCTCTATTGCAGACAATGAAGCACACTTGAGATGAGCCAATACAACAATGAAACAGTTTTTCCTCTATAGCAAGCAACATGGAGCAGAACAGATCCATCTGTTATATCCCTTTCTTGACTATCTTTACTTTGGCTTTCTTTGGGGTCTTCCATTTTTACTATGAATCTCACATGGAAGGCTGGTCGTATTGACCCCTGTGCCATTACAGCCCACTTGCACGTTATCAAAGGAGGCAGAGTAAAGGGGGAGGTATACTCTTGTTCGTTTTTCTTCAGATCTTCAGCTTATAATTTGTCTGTTCTTTAAATGATGCTCATTCGTTTGCATCTACTAGTACAGAAGAGGAGGGAGGAAGGGAAGGGGTAGGGAGTGGAGTTATATAGGAAGCAAGGGGAAGGGGGAGAGAGAGGAGGGAATTGGAGGGCCAAAGAACGGAACAGGGGAGATAATTTTCAAGGGTCCTCAATACTCACCACTGGAGCAGACTACTCTAGAATGGCACAAGAGGCCAGTCAGTGTTTGCGTTGTAGGAGATTTGAGTTGAGCAGCAAACGTTGCCTATGGTAAGTGGCCTGAAACGGTTTTCACCTTTACAGTAGCAGTAGCAGATGCGGCACCCATCGCTCGATCCCTAGACCTCGCCCTCACCCATGTACGGTACCAGTTGAGCCGTGTCTGTGGCTTGAAAGTTGTCTGTTTAGCTGTTGTAGATAGTGTGGTCACCGGGTCTTGAACCGTAGGTCTGTGTTTAGGGGTCTTAGCAGTAGTATAGGTCGTAGCTGCTACAGTACCGAAGGGTCAAGTCTGCGACCTTCCGGAAGTTCTGGAAGTGGACTTTCGTGATTCGTAGGAGTCATTCCGCGCCTGAGTCAGCAAAGGGCAGTCCTAGCGCAGTCAGCAAAGGGCAGTCCTAGTCCTACCTAGCCTAGTCAGCGGCACCCAGTCCCGGTCGCACTTTGTCTAGTCAGCAAGTACCATGGGGGCCTGTGTGCACCTCGGGCCCAGGGTCAAGGGGCAGACCTACAACAATCCGAAGTATTAATAAAGAGGCAGTGTCAAGTCATTCAGTCATTCTGCCTGTGAGCCGTGCGAAGTGCTGTCTTTGTGTCTTGTGTATGAAGGTCTGCAGGTGCCCGAAGAGGAAGTGGGCTAAGAGGAGGAAGACGCGGCCATAGTCGCTCGTTAGCAGTTAGGAGGTAGATGGCAGCCATAGCTGCCAGGTGGGAAGTTAGTCTGTGTGTGTGTTAGCGTGTGTGAGTGTGCGGGGCATCCAGGGAGATCCAGGGTGTATGTGTGTGAACAAGTTGCATGGGGACACAGTTGATCGAGTGGGAGTCTTGGTCTGGCGCTGGGCGCCATAGCCGATCGCGACAAGTTTGAATCTGAACTGTGTTCCTGTCTACGTTATCTCTGAGCTTTGTGTGGGCGCTAAGCGCCAGGTTTGATTGTCATCTGTTTGCACACATGCTGAGTATCGAAGAAGACAAGTCTGATCGCAGGCCACCTCTACAGACTGGACACGACCGGTTCAGGTCCGGACTGTCGAAGCACCACATCCAATTCGCACAGTTGCAGTTGCTGCATTGAATGGTGCGGTGTAGACGTATGTCACTGGCTACGCGGCTCCTACGTGCTAGGACTTCTCACAGTTGCAGTTGCTGCAGTGAAGGAGAGGCCCCTTCACTATCCGTGCTAGAATGTGTCCGATCTACACAGGGAAGGGACACTGCCTGGCCATGTCCTGGGGAGGGGGGAGGTTCAGCCAGATTGTTCTCCGGGGGCTGTAGAGCTTGCACGTGCACATCCACATACTGTTCCTGATTGACCAGCCATACTTTGTGGGATTCTCCCACTGGGTGATAATAAGAGTAAACTTTTCCCGCCGTGTGCACCCTACCGCCATCGTCCCCATATAGTCCATCAATTTTCCGCAAAGATAACAGCACTGAAATGACCTGGACAATGCAAGACGTACGTACGCACAAATGTCCGGGTCCATGTCTGGCATGTAATTCTGTGGAGCGGGGTGGAGTTGCAGTCATCTTCCCATAAATGCCATAGACATGACTCCTATGTTCACGCCAGGCGCAGTGCCGTCATCCTCTCGGCAGACATTGGCAGATAGCACAATGCTCTTCTTCTATCCACCAGACAATGTCTGCGAAATCGGAAAAAAAAACAGTATAGATGTTGCAATTGTAAGCAAGGATAAATACATTAATGGCATAGCACACACAGTGATTTTGCTGTGGCACTATGAGCCCGTTTAATTCTGCACATGCCACATTGCACATCAGGGGGAAGTTCATCCTGGTCTTGATATTTTCTATTAGGTTCCTCTGGCTTGCTTACCTCAATTGGCTTTGCGTTCCCGGGAGTGAGGATCTCCAGTTCGGGGCTCTATCAAATGATCAGGTGGATCATTGTCAGTTGGAGCGGGGGAGTAATCGAGGCTTGGTGGATGACAAAGTTAGGCAGGTCAGATGCAAGAAGCAAAGCTGATCAGCCGCACTTGTGCTAGAGTGGCTGGTAGTCATGCAAATGCTGCACAAGTGGCTGCACCTCGTGTCTGGTGTGCGCACGCAGGCCTGCAGCACTGTAAAAAACATCGCCACATTGTGGGCATCATACTTGGAATGTAATTTTCCTGGCTAGTGTGTTTTGGGAGCAGCGACGTCCCGTAAGATTGCGAGCATGGCATCGGAGTAGCTCTCCGACCCTCGCCGGGGGCGCGATGAGCATGCTGTTCAAGTACAAACAAGGCCTCTGCCTAGGAGGTTGCGATGGAGATGTGGAGCATCTCCGCCGAAGAGGCCTCTGCGATGCCCGATCGGACGATGGATGCCTCTGCCGATGGGACCTCCGTGATGCCCGATATGACCATCAATGTGTTGATGATGAGGACGATGATTAAGGGGAGTCATGCGAGGGAGAGGAGGAAGAAGAGGAGGAGAAGGAGGAGGAGGAAGAAGTCGAGGCAGTGACAGAGGGAGTGATGTAGAAGCCGACGTAGGTGGAAGGACTGGTGGCGATGGCGGTGGTGGTGATGATGATGGGTGTGGTGGTGGTGGTGGTGGTGGTGGTGGTGGTGGTGGAGGAGGAGGCACACCTTCAGCAGCAGCCGCATTGGTAGGATGCAGGCCATCATCCCCTGCATCCACTTCAACAACATTTTTGTTGTCTGTTGCAACTGACCCGGTTTCTGCTGGGTTGCAGTATCCACATTAGCAGCTGCCATTCCAGTAGGAACAATAGGGTAGGGCGGGCTCACTGCTGTGGAGGGCTGATGCTGCCTGTTTGGGAATGGGTGGGGACCCACTGCGTGTGCCTGTGTGGAGGGCTGATTCTGCATGTGCGTGGAATTCGCATTTGGCAGTGGGTGAGCAGTTGCCCAGCGCACCATGCGGTGAATATCACGGACAATCATGGGTCACGCGGCAACATTTTGAAAGTTTTGAGGGTCCAGTGGGCACTGTTGATGCTAGCATTTTTGGCCCATCGTTAAGGGCTGTTTTTTCGGAGTTGTCTTCAGGACAGAATTTCAGAGTAGGGAGACATGTTGGGCCATTGGAGGCCCGGGTA